AACATATCAAACCACTCTCTCTGATCTGTCTCCCTCACTCTCTCTTCTTATCAGATCTGTTAATTTTGTTTTTGTAGCAACAGATCTATCTGTGAGAAGTGCAAATTGAATGTGTGTTTGTTTGGAACTAAATCTGATTTTTTATTTATTTATTTATTTTTTTTTTGGGAATTGAATCTGTGTTTTTGGAATTAAATTTGTGGTATTGGAATTAAAAATCTATTGTTCAATATATGAGAAGTGGAAATTGAATCTGTTGTTCAATGTTAATTAAATTTGTTGTTCAATCGTAATTAAATCTGTTGTTATTAAAATTGGAATTGAATCTGTATAGAATTGAATCTATTATTAAAATTAAAATTGAATCTGTGATTCTGTTGAATATGTATGGAATCTGTTATTGACAAAATGAGGAAAAAAAAAGTTTAAAAATAAAATTTTGAAAAAAAAGTTCAATCTGCAAACCGTCCGCAACTGCCCGCATATTCGCAAACCTTATGCGCACAAACCGCAAACTGTACTGCAGGCTGTTACGATTTGACTTTTTACCAAACTGCATAGATGCGGGCAGGTCCAAACCGAATCGTAAACCGTCCCAAACCGATCCGCGGACACCCCTAGTTGACTGTATGTGGATGATGATATAGAACTTTAATAGTAGAGCTTTAATAATTAAATATTGTATTATGCGATTTTGTTTACGTGGTATTATTGACAAATGAAAAATTGCATTACACTCTACCTAATAGAAGGAGAAAAAAAAAAAGAAAAAAAAAAGAAAAATCATTCTCTAGCCCATCTACCCACCACACAACCCACAAATACACACCTAATGAGTCATAGCTTAACTCAAGAAGACAAAGTGCTTATCAGACGAGATATCTAAATTTGAGTCTTACTACTGTATAATTTTTTTTTTAATTTTTTTTTTTCTAGTCTTCTACAATCACATAATCGGACACAACTTTCTCACAAGACTCCTTCAGGTAATCTCACAAAAGTTTCAGTATTACAATTTACAAGTTACTTAACAGCTATTCTCATCATTTGTGAATTTCAAACAGAAGAAGGGAAAAAAAAAAAAGAAAAAAAAAAAGAAAAATCATTCTCTAGCCCATCTACCCACCACACAACCCATAAATACACACCTAATGAGTCATTGCTTAACTCAAGAAGACAAAATGCTTATCAGACGTGATATCTAAATTTGAGTCTTACTACTGTATAATTTTTTTTTTAATTTTTTTTTTTCTAGTCTTCTACAATCACATAATCGGACACAACTTTCTCACAAGACTCCTTCAGGTAATCTCACAAAAGTTTCAGTATTACAATTTACAAGTTACTTAACAGCTATTCTCATCATTTGTGAATTTCAAACAGAAGAAGGGAAAAAAAAAAAAGAAAAAAAAAAAGAAAAATCATTCTCTAGCCCATCTACCCACCACACAACCCATAAATACACACCTAATGAGTCATTGCTTAACTCAAGAAGACAAAATGCTTATCAGACGTGATATCTAAATTTGAGTCTTACTACTGTATAATTTTTTTTTTAATTTTTTTTTTTCTAGTCTTCTACAATCACATAATCGGACACAACTTTCTCACAAGACTCCTTCAGGTAATCTCACAAAAGTTTCAGTATTACAATTTACAAGTTACTTAACAGCTATTCTCATCATTTGTGAATTTCAAACAGAAGAAGGGAAAAAAAAAAAAGAAAAAAAAAAAGAAAAATCATTCTCTAGCCCATCTACCCACCACACAACCCATAAATACACACCTAATGAGTCATTGCTTAACTCAAGAAGACAAAATGCTTATCAGACGTGATATCTAAATTTGAGTCTTACTACTGTATAATTTTTTTTTTAATTTTTTTTTTTCTAGTCTTCTACAATCACATAATCGGACACAACTTTTTTACAAGACGTAACCCATCTCACGTAAGAGAGATAGTTGTGTGCAATTTTGGGATCGGTTTTTGTATCCTTTAACTTTTTCTATCTCTCTCCTACTGATTGTCAAAAGAGTTTTAGATTAATCAATGAACATTGAACATATTAATTCACTATTAAAAAAAAAAGGGGAAAAAAAAAAAACATTTTAGACTAGTGTGAGTGCTTTGATATACAAATCTTATGTGGTGTGTTGTGATTCATTAAACATAGTGGCTGGAAGTGAAGAAAGAAGTCCTGATCCAAAGCCAAGGTGGAACCCAAAACCAGAACAAATTCGTATACTTGAATCTATCTTCAACTCAGGGATGGTAAATCCACCGAGGGAGGAGATAAGGAAGATCAGAACTCAACTACAAGAGTACGGCCAAGTCGGCGACGCCAACGTCTTCTACTGGTTCCAAAATCGAAAATCAAGAAGCAAACACAAGCAACAACGCCACCTCCAAAACACCAAACCAAACACCGCCACCGCTCCGTCCTCATCCTCGTCCTCCTCGGAGAAATCTTCTCCCCAGTCTTCTGCTGATAATATTGCCTTCTCGGTGGGTACGAATTCTCCGACGGCATCGGTAAACAAGACTTATTTTCAGAATCCGGCTGAGTTCTTGCCGGAACCCTACTTTCTTCCGGTGCAACAGGGTTCCGGAGGAGAAGCCTCAAACTATGTTTTGAGTCAAGGGTTTTGCTTCCCTGAGCTATCAAATAATATGGTTCATGTCCCTAATAATACAGATCAGTCTGTTGGAAATTGCTGTGGTTTTTTGCTCAGTGAGTTGATGATGAATCATGGGTCTCCAAAGAGAGTTGAAGATGAGAAGTTGAAGCCTCAAGAACAGCTGAATTACACTGCTACTCACCCTATTGTTCCATCTACCATCAATCACATTCTAGGTAAATAAATTTTTTAAATTTCTTTTTGCATATGTAGAATAATATGAGTAAGGATTTTTTAGAGTTTTTTTTTTTCTAAATTTTTTTAGAGTAGTGCATTGTGTGGTTGAGATTTAATGATAAATCACATCAATTTTTTAACATTAAATCTCAACTACACAATATACCATTTTAAGAAACTTTAAAAAAAAAATACTCTAAAAAATCTTTGGGGGAATAATATATGATTCTCCGTCAGTTCAATCAACCCTTATCATGAAAAAGTTTTATGTATACGAATTTTTTTATGGAATGATATAGTCCATTCTGTTTTAAACAAGACTCATAAATTTTTTAAAAATGCTTTAGAGCTCTAATATAGAAGCTCTAATAGCTTTAATGGAAATGTGGGACCCACTCTGATGTGATGTTTGTGTCTTGCCTTGTTTTTTTTTTTTTACTTGGACACATCACTAGAGCTCAAATTAGAGCTTTAGATTTAGAGTTCTCTAACATTTTCCTAAATTTTTTAAAAATTGTCTTTTGTACGTCATTAGTACAAAGAAATGTTTTGTATAAAATTTTATTTCAAAATCGTTTTCCCATTAAAAAATTGATACTATTTCCTAAGTAAAGGACAACCATAATTATGTAATAGGGTAAAAAGCAGTTTATCCCCTTGTGGATTGACGTTGAAACATTTCTCCTTTTAATTTGAATATATGCAAATATTTCTCTTATAATTTTAGTTTAATGTGCAGCTATGATGTCATTAACGGTTGACGTTAAAATGGCTAATTTATTCATACACAACAGGACTATTCGCTCTCTCTCTCTCTCTTCTTATACATATAATTTTCTATATTAATTACATATTTAATAAATTAAATAATAAATTAACTTAAATACCCTAATCTATTATCATAAGATTACCTTAATTAATTTTTAATTTTTAACTTAATTTCTTATTTAATAACATTTTAAATTATATATAATTAAACTATAAATTAATCTAAACAAGTTTATTACCATAAAAACAAGTCATAAAATTACTTTAATATAATTTTCTTTACAACAGCAAGGATAATTATCTGTAATATTTTCTTACTTATCTTTTCCAGTAGCTATATACTTTCCTTTATATAATAATATATTATATGTCGGATTTCCTTAATAATTTTTAATTGATTGTCTTTAAATTTTCGTTAAATTTTTTTTATAGCTTAATTAATGTGTTATTTTATTCTATTATTATTTGTACTGAACTATTATTATTTAATTATCAAAATCGACTTCTTCATCATTTCTAATACTCGTATAATTTTATTGGTAAGACTGAGAAATCAAATTTTGATATTAATTTAAACACACAGCGAAATAAAATACTTTTCAAAGACAATAGAAATTTGTGATTTTTATGAAATAAAATCCTAACTATGTATGGTTTGTTACTAATTTATAATACTTATGAGCTTATATTATGTTTTTGCTATATTTTCAAAGATTAAATATGTTTGAATTAAATATTTTAAAATTTTTATATATTCAATCAATTGTTTAGGAACTAAATAAATTTTAATTTATATGTACTTTAGAAATATAATAGACACAATTAATAGTTAAGGAACTAAATAAACATTTCACTATGTAAAAAAGTGTAATAAAGCCTTTATATCAGTTCTTATGTATGATTAAAATCTCTTCTTTGGAGAAATTTATCGACATAAATTAAATAAGTACACTTATTTGAATCATATCATTTCTTTACTTTTCTACATATCTTTTCATAAAAAATTAAAAAGTATATTTATTTAAATCATCTCAAACGACCCTTAATAAATTAATAAAACCAAATAAAAACTTATCATGCAATTGATAACATTTAAAAAAAATTAAAAATAAAAAACAGAAATACTTTCACTGTCCCAAAATAATAGTCCCCTTTGGAGAATTTTTTTTTTTTTGTAGTATAATTATTACACTTTAAAAATATTAATTTTCTAAAATTACTCATTGATAGTATATTTTTTTTAAAAATATCAATTGTCATGATTATACTTTTTGTGTTAATGAATTTAAAATAAGAACAAAATAGAAAAATCATATTATTTAGTCCTTGATTGTTGAAAAAAAATTAATATTTCGAAATAATAAAAAAATGAGATGAAGACTAATATTTTGAAACGAAATGAGTAAATGTTTTACGGGGAGTAGTTTTGAATAAGAGAGGATTTCAACTTTTAGGCTCCGTTTGTTTTGTGAGATAAAATGGAGGGAATTGATAGTGAGAGGATTAATAGTGAGGGGATTGTTAGTAAGGTGATTAATAGTGAGGGGATTGATAGTGAGGGAATTAATAGTGAGGAATTGTTAAATTATTTTTATATAAAATAATAAAACAAATAAAAAAATATAAAAAATAAACATTATATTTAAAAAAATTCCAATATATAAAAAATAAAAAAAATAAAAAAATTTCTAATCCTCTCATTATTTTTTTAATACAATCTCTACCTCCTCCTTACCAATCCCCCTTTCCCCTCCTTACTAATACCAAGGGATTACTAATTCCCTTCATATCTCTCAAAACAAACACTCTATTTTCAATTCCCTCCTCACTATCAAACTCAATCCCCTCCTCATAATCCCAAACAAACACATAATCCCAAACAAACAGGACCTTAAAGACATAATTCATGTATATGCATTAGTATAGCAATTTGTATTATAATTTTTAAATTACACACTTTATTTATTATATAAATTATAAAAAATTAATTTTTTTAAATTATATCACATCATTAATTAATATACTAATTAATGTAGTTATATTTTTCGGGTTTACACAAGTGTGAATGCACAAATTTTGGTATGTTTGAGATGTGATGTATGCCTGCCTTTCCATGCGGAGAAAAGTAGGAGGGTATAAGTGTCTCTTCGTCCGGAATTCGCGATGTAATGTCTACCTGAATTGACGTGTGCATGGATGCACCAAAAGTCCCTGCCACTTGATTGACTACCGCTCTGGTTATGCGCATATTAGTAGGTGAGGAAACTGATTCTCTGTGTGCAGGTGCAGGTACAGTTGTTGGCGAATCATCAGGCACAGTATCAGAGGCAAGATCAACGGTGTTTATCAACGACGTGGCATTTGAGGTGGCTGTGGGGCCCTTCAACGTGCGTGAAGCGTTTGGTGATGATGCAATGCTCATCCACTCCACTGGTCAACCAGTGGTCACCAATGAGTGGGGTGTCACCCTCCAGTCACTCCAGCATGGGGGGTTCTACTACCTGGTGCGCACGTTAACTCCCATCAATACTGTATCAGAAACACAACTTATTATATGGTACTTTTTTTATTTTATTTTAATTCACAACATTTGATTGTGCATTTTGATCTTCCCTTTATTTTTTCAACAATACCACATTTATACAATTTTTCCTCCTAATTCATTTTTATTATTTTTTCTTTTGCTTTTATGTGAAAGTTGTAGTTTTGAGTTTTGTTTATTATTATTTTTTTTTTTTAAATTGAAGGTCATAATTTAGGGAGGAGAAGCTTTGCATACACCAATATCTAAGCATATAATGAGGTGCCACAATTCAATGAATTTGAATTTGATCGTACACATTTTTGGAGTGTAAACAAGATGTAGAATTTCATTTTGGTCAAAATTATGGACTTTCTATTATTAAGTCCTCGTTTGGCTAACAATTTGAGACTAAAAAAAACATTAAAAGACAAAATAAATTATATAAGCTAATATGACAAAATACCACTTTTTATCCATAATCATTATATTTTTTCCCTCACAAAAGTCAAAAAAATCTCAAAACAAAAACTAAACGAGACTAAAAAAGTCAGGATAAAAAAGTTGACTATATTAGTCAATGCCAAATGACCCCTAAACCTATACAAATTTATTAATTTTATTATTTTGAACTAATTAAAACTTATGCTTTATTTATACATTTAAACTTCAATAAAGAGGCCGCGTGAAGAGAAGGGTTGATATTGTTTGTCTTTTGGTAACTTTATACATATTAGTTAAGAAAAAATGTTATACATAAATGTATTTTTTTTAAAAAAAAAATTAGTGACATGTATGCATATAATTTAAAAAATATCAAACATAAACAAATTTATTTTTAGAATTTTTAAAAAGAAAATTAATAAAATATCCATTTCTAACTTTGGGTTAGGAGAGGTCGAAAATGTTTTTTGGTGATCGCTCAATAATATTATTAGAGACATTTTTATGTGAAAAAAGAAATTTCTTTGTAAAAATATGGAGGAACCCTAACCACTACAAAAATATTGTATATCTTTTATCTTATAAAATCTTAATATCAGAAACCTTAAACTAAAAACTTTTTTTTTTTATTATTACAAAACACAAACATAATGAGCTTCATCTGTATTTATTAATGTAGACTTTCACTATTTTTGTATCTATAGTGATTAAAAAAAAAGGGTTATATATAATATTAATCTATTAATTAAATATTGTATTATGCGATTTTGTTTACGTGGTATTATTGACAAATGAAAAATTGCATTACACTCTACCTAATAAGAACATGTCTCACTTATTAAAATTTTCACCATGATCAATATAATACACCACATAAATTGTGTCACATTACATGATGTTTCGAAGTTACAAAATAATTACTCACTTCGCTATGTATGCACTGATCAATCTTTTATTTACCTTGTTAATTAATTGTCCTTTCCTCATTGCAGATATAGGAGAAGTGTGGAAGTTGAAGGGACAGGCCAGCTTGTTCTTCATTAAGGTCGCTTTCATATATATATATATATATTTCATCACTCTCTTTTTATCCCTAATGTGTGCATGGATATTCCATATATATATATATATATATAATCTTATATACATATATTTGTGTATGTATTTTGGTCTTGTTTGATACACATGAATTAAATCACAAACAGGTGGATGGTTTATACATATTTTTAGCTTGCTGTTGGCTTTGCATAGTGGGAGTTTGGAGTTTGTGTTTTTTGTGATTTATTAAATCACAAACAGGTGGATGGTTTATACATATTTTTAGCTTGCTGTTGGCTTTGCATAGTGGGTGTTTGGAGTTTGTTTTTTTGTGATTTTTTTTTTTCAAGTGATTTTTTTTTAATTAATACGTTAAATAAATTATTTAAAAAATAAAATTTTAATGACAAATTAATATAATATTTAATTTTTTTAATCAAAAACGATTTTTTTTTTCTTTAAAGAAATCATTAGGTCTGAGAAAGAAAATCAAAAAAATCTACAAACTGAACTAGTTCAGACCAATCGAATAGGTTTGGTTTGGTTTTGTTAATTCGTGATTCGGTCCTGTTTTGGAAAATTAAAAAATCAGTATTTGCAAATTAGTTTCTGATTTAGGTCCACGAGTTCAAATTTAAACTGAACCAAGCAGCATAACTTAAATCATATATGTTTATTTGCTAAATGTTATGTTTGTTAAGTTAATGGTGGAATAATGTGCATTTTTATGCTTAGATAGTTTATATTTCGAAAAATCATGATAGATTAATATCAAACAATTTTTACTTAATGTTATATTTTTGCTTAACTGATGAATATTATAAGAGTAGTTTTTTTGATGGGTGTACTATTATCACTATTAAAATTTATAATAAATTGAAGTTTTTTGAAAATGTTATATGATTTTTCTTGTGAATAGATTATGTGATCCATAGTTTCAAATCGAACCAAACTATATTTAAATGGTTTGCTTTGAATTGATTCTATGACATTAATGGTTTGGTTTAATTCCAATTTTTATGGAATCATAAATAACACATTAATCTTGATTTTATCTTAAATCGATCCAAATCAGACCATGCTCACCCATAGAAGTCATGCTAATGGCCTGGCCAATGCAATGCTTAACTCTTAGTAAGGTTTGGGTTCTCAAGCTCTGCGTTTAATTGGAGAGAGTGTTTGGATTTGATGAGTTTATTTTCAGATATTTTTGATAATTTAAAGCCTTTATTTTTTAATATTCGTTTAGTAAAATATTTATGTAAAAATTAAAAATAATTAGATATACTGGATGGGTGTAGGGTACAACAAAAATTTATAACAAAAATATTATGCAAGTGTGTCATGTATTCAATACATATATAGAAATATTATGCAAAGTAACCCAATACAAGTACGACATATTTACCGATATTTACCGAAGTACCTCGTTTCATAAGTAATATGTATTTAAAAGAATTTAAATGTACATAATTTAATCACAAACAAAGATGGTGTTTGGAAATTGACTTTTTGATCAATTTTTTTGACCTTTTATGAAATGCATATCAAAAAAATAAAAAGAATAATTTAAAAAATGCATATAAAAAAATTTAAAAAAATAATAATTTAATAAGGTATAGTGATTTTTTAACTTTATAACTCAAGCTCTCAGTACATTAATAAAAAAAATCGAACTCCATATTTAAAAATATTATATTGAATTATATGATATATTTTTGTTTCTAGTATTGTATGGAAATGCTTAGAGTGTGTACCATATGCAAATTATATCATTTGTGAGTTTAATTATTACAAATAACATAACTTAACATCACAACATTATAGGAGTCATAACCAAAACAAACAAAAAATGTTATAATCAAACATCATATAAAGTAGGGGTAGGCGCGGGTCGGTTGCAGCCACGAACCTTCCAATCCGCTATCCGTCTGTCAGATTAGAGAAAATCAATCCGTATCCGTCCACCAATCCGGCGGATGTAGATTGAGCGGATTGGAGGATGGATGCGAATCGGCTTGGCGGTTTAAAATTTTATAAATTTTTAATATAATCCAACTTGTGCGCTTCTTAAAAAAAAATAAAAAATGTTACAGACAATGGCTTAAAAAAGTATTACAATCACTGCATGCCTCATTCGAGAAAGAAAGTTTAAAACTTTATAATCACTGCATGCCTTATCTACATATTATAATCACACCATGCCTCATCCACATAAAGTCTTACAATCTGTGGTTCTAAAAATATAAAAGCAATTCAAACTACCAAAACTATAAATATAGCAGTAGAAGAGATTATATACCTCTGTATTATTACATCTATATCTGTTTTTGAAAACAAAAATCAACCAGCATATATCATCTTTTTTCTTTATTATTTTTAGAGTTAGATTTAAAAACCAAAAAATATAGATAAATAATACTTTTATTTTTTTCAATTCAAAAAGTATATTCAAGTTGAATTTTTTTTTCAATAGAACATATTTAAAAGAATATTTAAACTCTTTTTCAATTAAAACACAAATAGAATATATAAATAAATTGTAAACACAAAGTCTTACAAATTACTAGGGGAAATCCCAAATCCGTCATCCGTCCAAAACTAAGCGGATTGCAAAAAATCAATCCGCAACCGTCTGCTCGTTATCACGCATCCGTCCAAAATATGGCGGATTGGTTCGGTTCGGTCGGTTTAGGCGGATCGATATATCCGCGACTCACCCCTAATATAAAGTACAACAAAGAACTCTCAGGTCATAACCAATATCACAATAAACTATAATTAAAAATATGATAGATTATTACTAAAAGTATAAAGATTATAATTAGAAATGCATAGGGTACATACCCAAAAATATCGATGGTGCTGCATGCAATAATTAGGGTACTAACTAGTGTATCAATATTATAGTTATGACTTTATTATTAACCCCACTCATTAATAACATTACAAATATAAAAAATGTCTTAAATTATGTCACATCATCAATTGGTAAACTAGTTAGTATATCAACTGGTGCATGTAGCATTATTTCAAAAATATTTCGTAAATAATGCTATATATACCAATTAAAATACTAACTAGTGTATCAATTGATGATGTGACATAATTTAAGATGTTTTTAAGATTTGTAATATAATTAATGAGTGAGATCAATAATAATATTATAATTAATATTGATACTCTAATTAATATACTAATTGATATATATAGTACTCACCAATATTTTGTATTGTTAAACTTTCTGCAATGAATGAGGTGTGGCCCAAAAACGGAAAGAAGTTATATATAAGTTTTTTTTTGGCAAATAATATTAGTCAATTAACTCTTTATAAACTTTTTTTTTATCTTATTTTAAAATTATTCGTCTTTGGAGGAAAAAATTAGGAAGATATAAGTATTACTCTTTCTGAACCACTTGTCTTCAACCTGCCACGTCCCGATCCCATCTACTAGTAATTTTTTTTTCTTCCAATACAGGATGGGTAAAATATACAATATAATACTATAGATAGAGAGAGAAAGAGTGAGAAGAGTTTTAGAGGGGGTCAAGTGGGGTTGATTGTAGGGTTGGGCATAGGGTTATCTGACCTGCTCAAACCACCCTACCCGATCTGAACCGTATACGTATAGGCGGTTTTGCAAACACATTAGGGTAGGATGCGGTTTGGATTTTTTCTAATTTTCGGGTTGTCGGCTTGAACCGCAACCGCCCAACCTGTCCACATATACCTTTTTTTTTTTTCAAATCTGATTTTTTTCTCCCCTTCGAATATGACTGTTCATCTCGCTTATCTATATAACAAACAAACCAAAAAAAACCCTAATCTTATCTATCTCTCATGCTCTCCAAAACCAAAACACGAACACGTTTTCATCTCATCAATCTATCTCTCACTATGGCGTTTTTCATCTGCAATGCACCGATCGACTCTCTCTCGTCGCAAGATCGGCCGATCGACCTCACTCTCTCATCACACCGATTGACCTCACAAGTAAGTCTCTCTCTCCCCGATCTTTAATTTTTTTTGCAACATAACAGATTTCTCTCTATGATATGTCTCCCTTACTCTCTCATCTCATCAGTCTCCCACTCTCTAGTTTTGCATCTGCGCCGATCGACTCTCTCTCATCGCAAGATCGACCGATCGACCTCACTCTCTGATCGCATCGATCGACCTCACAAGTAAGCCTCTCTCTCTCTCTCTCTGTCACTGTCTCTCTCTCTCTCTCTCCCCGATCTTTGATTTTTTTACAACATATCAAACCACTCTCTCTGATCTGTCTCCCTCACTCTCTCTTCTTATCAGATCTGTTAATTTTGTTTTTGTAGCAACAGATCTATCTGTGAGAAGTGCAAATTGAATGTGTGTTTGTTTGGAACTAAATCTGATTTTTTATTTATTTATTTATTTTTTTTTTGGGAATTGAATCTGTGTTTTTGGAATTAAATTTGTGGTATTGGAATTAAAAATCTATTGTTCAATATATGAGAAGTGGAAATTGAATCTGTTGTTCAATGTTAATTAAATTTGTTGTTCAATCGTAATTAAATCTGTTATTAAAATTGGAATTGAATCTGTATAGAATTGAATCTATTATTAAAATTAAAATTGAATATGTGATTCTGTTGAATATGTATGGAATCTGTTATTGACAAAATGAGGAAAAAAAAAGTTTAAAAATAAAATTTTGAAAAAAAAGTTCAATCTGCAAACCGTCCGCAACTGCCCGCATATTCGCAAACCTTATGCGCACAAACCGCAAACTGTACTGCAGGCTGTTACGATTTGACTTTTTACCAAACTGCATAGATGCGGGCAGGTCCAAACCGAATCGTAAACCGTCCCAAACCGATCCGCGGACACCCCTAGTTGACTGTATGTGGATGATGATATAGAACTTTAATAGTAGAGCTTTAAAGTGAGCTCTACTTACGTGACAAGGTAAAAAAAGAAAATCAACTTAACACAAAACATCAAATTATAGTGAAACCATCTCAATTAAAGCACCCTAGAGTTTTTTTAGAGCTCTCAATTATTTTTGGAGAAATTACACTAACAGTCTCTATAGTTTGGGACTCGTGTCACTTTGGTCCGTAACTTTTCAATTATGACACATTTGATCCTGAATTTTGAATCTTGTTCTAAATAAGGATAATTGAAAATGCCATTATTTAATTTGAAGGGC